GGAAAGAGAAGGTAACCTTCACTACCTGTATGCTCTTAAAGATTTACAGTGTATTCAGACAAGTAAAGTTAAAGGTGCAAATCCCACATGGCAGGTATTACCATGCTTCCATTCTCCACAACGCCAGGCTGGAAGCAAAACTGACCAGAAAGGTAAAGATTGAGTTTAAACTTCTAGCTAGCAAAGTAAAAACCACCCAGTTTTCCTCTAACAACTGCAAGAACCCAGATCAGATAAATAAATGTGTGTGAGGTGAAGGAAAGAGGTGTGGGGAGGTGGAATCTGTACTAGGAGATGGCCCAGCTTTGCAGACAATCATTTATAGTGTGTAAATTTGAAAATGGGCATTGGAAAAGTGAATCCAGGTGCACTTAGTGTACATTTCTGGCAAACACACGTGGGTTTATTTAGCTATGCTGCCAGTGAATGCACTTGCAATTATCAATCAGTGTGATTGTTGTGGGCCAATATAAATGAAGAAAACTGTCAGCCTGGCTGACAGGTGAGGAAGATGTTATCACCACAAAGCATGATCAGGTAATTCAAGACTTCCAAGTACAGACAGCTGCCAAATATCTTACCTAGAATGTGCCTTTATGAATAGAAGGTAACAGTGGTGAATTTAGATTGCCACTTAAAGTGACAGTTCTGTATGTGTCCCTTGATACTACAGCTAACTGAATGGTTACACATTTTTAGCAAATGCACCACTACAATCACTGCAGGTTTCTTTTACAAAACATTTCTGTGCTACTCCAAACCAACCTCCTTTAGCATATGAGCTTTCAAGCTCCTTGACATACAGTGGCACTATCTGAGCACTGCAAGTCATCTTTCCTTCTTTCCATTTACTTTAGAAGACAATCTACGACAGAATTTTTCTAACTAACAAATATGCCTGTACAGACCAGGAAAATTTGTACTTTTTCAAAAGTAAAAATGACCTCTAATGTATTTAAAGGATTATGTCAAAAAAGACTTTGCTATTAAAATAGAATCTCATGTGGAGAGTGTCCTAGATAAATGTCTAAGATACTATTGAGCATTTCACAGTGTCCTCATTCAGCCGAACTTGTGACACTGCACAAAGAGTAAATTGTTGGCCACTGAATTGTAATGACTTTCCCTCATCTGGTCTGCTTTGGGAATGTATTCTTGGTTACAAAATCTAGTTCAGTGAGGTTTGGCACATCTGAGAATTGAAGAAGACAAGACATCAGAGCTGAGGGCAGTTTAGGATTACAAAGCATATCTCCATCTTCACTACAGCACTGTACCGAGTGCCTTTTGAATCACACGCTGTGCCCAACACCTGACACAGACAAGCTTGGAAAGACAATGTTGATAATTTCAAACACTGCCAGAATACATCCCAGTGACAATGCCTGGAATAGAGAGAATGTCTGAATGTGCACAGAGTTCATCAGAAACCAAAGCTGAACTGTTAGGACTCTCAAGTAGGCTCAGAGCAAACATCTGTGCATTTGTATGCACAACACCTTCAATGACACAGCAACATGGATTTACAGGTTAGTCTCTAGGTAACCACATATATCTAAACAGATACCTAACAACTGAAATTGTGGTTCCCATAGCATTCAGCTAAGCTACAACACATTTATCTACTCTATGGTTTCATCACTCTTTCTAACATCTATGAAGGGCTGGATCAGCTGAACTTCCCACTAAATTATTGTATGGTTATTCTGTGTCTCTTTAGGACACGTATGCTCACAAAGCTTGTATAGAGACATCATTAGCTGAGATACACAAATGTTTCTGAACAGATTATCCTCCTCAGCATCTGAAATTTTGTAGAATTTGTAATAGTTTCAGGAAAAGCTACTGACACAGAGCTGTCTTTTTTGTGAGGGGAACCAGCATCACACTGGAAAATAACAGGCAATGACTTAGAAAGATTTCATTTACTACATAACAAAGTTGCACAGCAGACACATAACATGTTTTTTCATTTTCTTTACCTCTGAACAATAACTTGCTCTGTGCCCAACGTGCAGCCTTCAGGGGAGCCACAAACTCAGTGCAATACTTCCTGGCTGCAATGTACCCTTCTCTCATTCTGGGTGAGATGTTTACAGGTGTTCACATAATCAACACATACAATTCCCAGGAATTTTCAGTATTTGTCTTTCTAAGGAAAGTAAGTGCTTTTAAATACTGTAGCATAATTTTCAGACTTGGAAACCTCCCTTACCTCTTTCTTTACCTCTTCTTCATCTTCCAGAGTCAGTGCAGCCAGTTGCTTAGCTCTCTGCTCCATCAAGTTTACATATCTGATTGGATTGGATAACGCCTCAATCACATCTAGAAATAAGGCAAATACTTCAGTTTCAAAACCCTTATGTTATGGTTCCAGTGCTACTCCTCAGGTTTTAAGAAAAGTACTCTCTCTTTCATACAGATCTGCTGGTGATAGGTACTCCTAGGTTCTAGAAACAGCAGCAGAGGAGAGTACACCATGTACAAACACTCTCACCCTCCTGGAGTTTGTGCTTCGTTCTTGTGGATGTGCATTTTCTGCACTTTTTATGATGAATTTTCAAAGCTTACAGCATCAGCCAGCTTTGCATGAGGCATGGAAGAGCTGTGGAAAAATCCTGTGTATTAATAAAATCAAAATAGCTACACAGAATACTGTTTTTCACTGAAGATGGTATTTCACAGTGTGCCTTTAAATCCATCCTTGTTTAGCGCCAATGCCAAATACACTGCTCTACCTTAAGCATGGCACTTAGCTTAGGAAGCAATTACACACTAGTGTGCCATGTAAGCAAAGTTTCATTTGTGTTTCAATGGCAAATGCCTGAGGTATTTCCTCCTTTGGAGTCCGTTGCAAACAAAAGAGGTGGCCCTAATCCTAAACCTCAGGCAAGTGGCTGTAAATCAGGCCATCTCCTATGAGTGCTGAGATAGAATTATCCATCAGACGCAGACATTTGTTCACAGGACAGTTATCACAGTCTGGCAAATCATTTATGCCTCGTGCATTTTGTGTTTCCATTAACCTTTATATTCCACAGTAGGAAAATGTCACAGAATTACCTGCATAAGTATCAGGTACGTAGTCTTTGACCTCTATGTACACAAAGAGAGCTGGCAGTGTCAAGGGCTGGTTCCTCTCATTCCTCAAACAGATGTAGTGATAGCCTGCAAAACAAGAAACAACCAGCTCAGAGAATAAACCCTTCCACAGACATTTTCAATGTAATTGTGTTATCATTTGTTATTTATAGCGTGGCTCCAGCTGAGCAAGAAACTCCAGGGACTTCTGGAAGTGAAAGATTTACCTGAAGGTGTTTCAGAGTTAAGTACACAGACATAGAACTTTTGGAAAGGCATGTGACACTGCAGTTTAAAATAGTATTTTCTGTTTATTTTTACATATGTGAATAATGTTGAAAATTATAATTTTATTTATTTGTTATGCATTCTATTTTATTACCACTGTCTGGTTTTTCTAGTTTTGTAGCTCTTATTTAATTTTCAAAAGTAAGCCTGGGCAGTCAATTCTAATGTTTAATGACCCTTTCCAAGAAGAAATTCATCCTGATGTCCAACCTGAACCTCCACCACAGCTGGGGCAGCCCCAGGCCCTTTCTCCCACTCATCCACCACCATACCCTGTTCTTTCTCCTGCTCACTGACACTTCTTTGACTTTGCAGAGAGAGAGCTCAGCAAGCTTCACACTGGAAAAAGCAACCTTCAGAATCTGCCAGGAGTCTTCCATTAATTTAGCTCCCCAAAATGCCTCAACGTAAGTTCAGACATATTAATGCAGGTTTAAAGACAGTGATGGAAGTGCACAGGTAGGAATGGGAGAAAAAGAATTCCAGCCCAACAAACACACACACCACTGCAGTGCTGCAAAACTGCACCCTCTGCCTCACAGACTGGTGTCTCTCACACCACAGCTGAAGCTGCTCTCCTAAGACAGAGCTAGGGAGCTGCACATACGGGTAGTGTCAGGATACACGTCATGAGCAGGATGCACTTATCTGGGGGAATCCTCACTTGGCTGATGTGAACAACTCCTTCTCCAAGTAATGGTTAAATCCTTGCTTTGAGAATAGTGATAATTCTGTGGATATGGGTGACAATATGATATAGTTTTCACTGACATCTTAGAAAAGAGTTCTCAGTTCTCTTGACCACTTCCAGCAAATTTTCAGCATGTACACAAACTAACGCAACACACTGTTCTCCATCACATGCTGTAAATTAATGACTACTAGAGTCAAAAGACCAGAAAATAGGCCTGTGGCTAACAGCTCTCAGAAGTCCTTGCATGACTTAACCCAGTGGTCTTTGTACTAAAGAGCAAAAGTTTGAAAGCAGGTACAGGATTCAGTAATCCAAAGAATGGTCTCTGTGCTGCATGTAGGGCGAGTACCATGAAAGTGGACCAGCTGTGGTAGGAGCTCACCTTTATCAGAAGAGAGAAATCCTTCACATCCCACTTCTCTCCAATCCCCTATTCTCCTCTGGAGCACCACAGATCCTCCATGAGGCAGCTATATCCATCAAGCCAACAGAAAATGCAGCTGGCATAATAGAATTTTCTGATGGATTGATAAACTGAGTTGGCTCACTAAAAAGGTGTGGAGATTATTCTTTGGGAATAATATAGGCAACTGTAGATACAGGGACATGTGAGTTTTGTGCTACTGCTGGGACTGACTAGATTAGGTACAGGGTAGACACAGATATTCTTCCTTTTTCAGAATGAGTGAAGCTGGGAGCATGTTTATGGCCCATATGCTTGCCCTAATTTAGTTTCCTTCCCTCACTGGCAAAGCTGGCACTGAATTTGAATACTTGCTCAAAACGCCAATGTCACTGCTTCTTTCTGAAACAGGATCTCTAACAAGTCTCTGGCCTGAAAAACAGGGGTTGAGTTGTCACACAAGACAATTCTTTTAATTTTCAGCAGTGAAGATGACAGCAATTTTGGGCTGATTTGTAAAAAAGATACAACAGCTTGCATATAGGTCAGTCTTTGCATGCATGTAGGAATTACATGAGAGGAGCATATTTTGGTTTCATTCCCAGCTGTCTCCCATTCTCACAAAGATGACATCAAAATTGTCTGCTACTGCCCTCTTTCCTCTTAAAAGTGTACAATTGCTCTTTTAAGCATAAACCTGTGAGCATGAAGCTGATGTACTGGAGACAAGAACATGCCAACTATGCCTCTGATGCTTTAATTCCATTGGTTTTCCTGGATTGTTAAGAATGTAAATGTCTGATGAAATATGGCACTTTTCTTTGTCAAAGCTGCAATAGAGTATTCAAATCCCCACTTGCAGTAAGCCTGAATGAGTGGCTCCTGACTTACAGCAGTTGAGATTCTGCTTTGCTGTTTCTTTTTACTACACAATATCTGTCTCAATGAAGAAAAAGGTTTACCTGGTCGAATTGCTGAGACTGGTAATATCCGATGACCAATGAATTTCCCTCCTTCTTCATACACTGCTAGCCTCAAACAGGCCAGGGAAGGTAAAACAACCTACAAGGCAATATTGTTGCATTATGAACATTCAGCTCTGAATGAAACAGCTCCTTCCACAGGCTATACAGAAGGCAGAAAGATCAGTCTAGCAGACTGGAACATCTACACATCCATCAGAAGGTCTTACCACAGAAGAGGTCAGGTTGTATACACCTGTGTGTCAAAATAACTCTCATAGAGACATTTTCCAATCAAGAAACTTGAGGTGGGATATGTCCACAGTATGCTGAACCCAGCAATCTGTCCCTACATTTTCAGTATGATACAAGGGACTAGAGCGGCTCAACTGCTATCACACCTGAATGCTGCTCTGTTTTCTGCTTATTACTCACATCCCTATGTGTCTTTTCCCCCTTTGTGTTTGTGCCAAGGGGATTACTTCTAAGAAAAGCTACTGCTAAGGCATATTAGTGTTGAAAACTCAGCAAGGAACTCAACCTGTTTTGCAGAGCGTGAATGTATGAATTACCCCAACCACGTCAACCCCAGTGCTGCAGCACACTCACTAGCTGGGCCAAAGGGGTTTATTCCTCTTTAGGACTGTTTCCTAGCAATGGATGCTTTTTTGGTACTATATAGAACTGTTGAACAGTTGATAAAAAAACACAAACAAGAAATCAGAAAAGGTTGCTAAACTAAGATAGGAATCTTTACTATTGCTTTAAAAAGATGCATAGCATAATGCATCTCATTTTCTTACTTAATTCAAATACACATGAAAATACATGCATGAAATGTGCATTCTTTTCAGAATATATGCTAAAATTTATCTACCCATTGAAAGAAAAATAAACCCCAACAATCCGAACCTAAGAGCTTCTCCAATTTATTTTCAACAGCACTAAAAATAGTACCCTATGCTTCTCTGAGCACAGAGGTAGCCAGGCACCATCGTTAACTAAATAGAGAAACGAAGTACACTAATTAGAAGTTCATTACAGAAGAAAAATGTTAGTGATGTTTCTAAACTTAAGCCCTGGCAAGCTGCCAAAGCAAAGTCATTCAGAAGGCCAAATGATCAGGGAAAAGAGCTGTACTCCTTAGAAAGCAGTGCTGCAAGTACCAACTGTAAAAACACCTCTGTGAACTACATTTGCTGAGAGAAACCTCTCACAGCGATTGTTTTACAAACACCTGAACTCAAGATTCACTTAACCACAGTGCTCAATAAGAAAAACCAGAGATTCTGTTCAAATATTGTCTGCAAGGGTATTGCAAAGCACAGTAAGACCTTCACCTTACACAGTCCTGAAACATGCTCAGTATTTTCTTCTCCCTTCAGGTTTACAGAATTGAGCCTGAGTGATACCATTCAAACTACATGAGTAGCTCAGACTCAAGTGGATGAGATTTACATGGTTTCATCACCTGGGCTGTATTTATATAGACAACCTAGTGCTAAGCAGAGATAGCAGATTGCTTTGGATGTTCTAGGTCTGACAGATCATTAGAGCTGGATTAATGTTGTCCTGCTCTGAGGTTAACGGTTCAAGAAATAACTAATCAGAGTCTCTTTTCTTCTTTCCAACAAGGAAAAAGTTTCAATAAACCATAAATATCCCCCTGGATAGCGATTAAAACAATGCACTTTTGGGATGCAAGTTTTACACAAACCTTCTTAAAAACTATGGCTTCCTCTTCCCAGACAGGATTAACTGCATTGCCTTGAGAGGTCTTGGTCTTCAAAGCTTTTCTTCTGGTATCCACAGGCAGGCCAAACATGTCAACTTCTACATAGGTACCGACTTTTTTATCAGAAAGAAACTGGCCTGAAATTATCTAAAGCCAAAACAAAGGAGGATTGTTAGAGATCACTTTGGTGAATGAGGAAATGAAGGGCTGAAATGCAGATGGATAATTCTCATTAATGATCAGATAACATGCATTTCAAATAAAACAAACCCAAAACTAAACCCACAATAAACAGAAAAAAGCCCCACTATTTAATTGCAGACACAGAAAAACAACTTGTGAGGCCTTGTTTCCTGTGGCCCTGTGGTCCTGAAGTCCCCTATGAGCAATAATGTGGCTGAGATCATGCTGCTGCCCTTCCCTCGGCAGGAAAACTCATTTGGATCTCATCCTCAGTCTGGCTGCCTATTTCCACAACATGGTATCTTTGAGAACTCCAAGTTCTACCCAGTGTAAGTGGTATCTTTGAGAACTCCAAGTTCTATCCAGTCTAACAACAGGTTCAAAAAATATTGAAAAAATAGAAGAGGTGTAAGAAGCAGAGAAACTCTGTATCCTTTTAACTGTGAGAGAGAAAACAATTTTAGAAACTCTGTATCCTTTTAACTGTGAGGGAGAAAACACTTTAAAAAGTTGTTATTCTAAAAAAGACTCTTCACAGAGGGTGAGGAGTTTCAGTATGAAAACAAAAATATAAAATTGTTGGTATTTTCTTGTTCTTACTTTTTAGAAGCAACACAACTCTCAGCTTTAAAAAGTGAAAGAAAGGTCTATAATTACTTCAGAAAGCTGAAGAGGCACAGGAGTGTGTAGCAGTGTCACTGTACCTTAACAAATTGAGGCTTGCCTAAAGCAAACCTTAATCCATTCTCAGCTGCATCTTGTATGAGCACTGACATTGTAACTAGCAGAGGCTTCACTGAGCAAGCAGAAGCAGCTGACTTCTGACAGCTGTCTCATGACTCCTGGATGCTCGTTCCTGTTTAAAATGCTGTACATATCCTAGTAGCTATTGAATGACTTCCACCTCCATTTACTGTAATTGCAGAAGAAAGTGCCTCTAAAGCCACAGCAGGGAACTGAAAGCTTCCATGATTACAGGTCACCACAAAAGGTCATCCCACACATCCTCTTTTTTTTACTGTGCATGTCATCAGATTATTCCTTTATTCACATCCCTCCCAGCACGGCTCTGCTACACTTGTCTGTAGCCTGAGAGGAAATACTTGTTTTCTCTCAGTAAAAACAGGAGGATATTTTGCAGGTGGATTTTGTAATACAGACACTCTTCTAATGGACAAGTCCATTAAAGGAATAGCAGGACTTCAGAAAGTTTATGGTTTTATAACTAGAGATATATAAAGTATAAATTTGTCATCCTGTCACAGCCAATGCAATCTATCCCTCTAAACACTCATGCAAGTAGTTCTCAATCTGCAGATTCCTGGCAGTCCTTGAACTTTGTTAGAGGTCCTTAAAAAGGAACAAAGAAAAGCAAGTTGGCAATGAACTGCAGCTGACATTTATGGTTCCACAGTTCTGCTGGAGAAAAATTTATTTGTACTAAACAGTGTAGTGTTCTAGCTATTCCAGTCCAACCTCCCACTTCATAACAGTATGTTTTAAATCCAGTCCTTTGTTACCAAAAAGAGAGCCAAACCACTCTTAAATCCACTCACTTCCCAATTCTGTGATTCTGTGGTTCTGTAATTACTTCTATAGAAAAGAATACATATGATAAAAATTGATTTATTGTACAATATGAAACGTGAGTCAGAATTTAAAAATTATATCTCACTCCATGAAATTAAATGCATTTTATTTTCTTGACTTAGAATAGTAATTTTCTTGGCCACTGCACAACAGAAATATAAACGTATCTATGCTCTGACATTGTTAATAGAGCATTTTCAGAGCTCCATACATACCTTGACAGACAAAGTGTTAGCTACTATTCCATCCACTATGCCTTCAGTAAATGGATCAAAGTGTTTGTCTGGTCTTCTCATGAATTCTGGTTTTAATCTGTATCCACTTTTGCCATTGTACTCATACATTCCCATGTTTATTTGCATAGACAAATCTAGGTGTTAAAAGTATTGGTAAGAATTACGTTCTGGATTAAAAAAGCAATAACATAAACAACAATTACTGTAATTTCATACTGACTGTAACAGAAACAGTACAAACTTGTGTTTAAAATGTCAAGTAACAGCTCTATTGTGCAATTCAATCACTAGATACCTTTTGATGCATACAGCCTTTCCTCCCTATGGATCAGAAACTATCTCAGAGGAGTGGATGTGCACAGCTTACACAACCCAGAGAACAGTATAACTTACCTACAGTTTGGAAGTTAAGAGCAACCATCTGGCAGCCAGCGTTCCAAAAGACTTGTGGCATGTAGTTTGAAGAATCCACACGTGTTCCCTTTGGGTAAATTCGACTTAGCTGCATTTTGTTGTATCTAAAGGTGAGTAGTTAAGATATAGTACATGTGACAAAAATCACTTTGCAGAGAGAATCAACTGCAGTATTAAATGCAGGTGTTCTTTACAGAATGGCAGTGGGTTCCTAGTTGAATTCTGGCATCCATAATGCTTCCAGAGGTCCATAATTTTGTAGGGCCATGATAAATATGGGGCAATTAAAGGTGCTGTTTGTTCCTGTGTAGAGTACTCAGAATAAGCAAGAAATAGCATTCATCAAATTCCATTTATCATTATGGTTACTAATTTTGGATTTTCCCAAGATTACATTTATAGAGGTCAGTTAGCTGTAAACAGTGAATCCTCCTCTGGAGTAGGGAGAGGTGTTCAGCTAAAAAGTGCTTTTCTGGAATGAGCGTTAGAATTGACCTCTACATACAGACAGAAATGAAGAGTGTACACATCTTGCAGTTGAGTCAACAAATCTCAGAGATGAGAACATGCTGCAGGTTATCTGTTGAAGTAGCTTCCCATTCATCTTCTCTGAGGCACTATTTTATCTTGATCATTCATTCTTAACTGCAGCATGATGAGAGATAGTGAGAAACATCATAAGGTCTAACTAGAATGTTCCTTAGCTTTGCTTTAAAGGTTATTCAAACAATAACTATATATAAAAAGAAAAGAATAATGTGGCAATAAACCAGCTCAGTGCTCTCGTAAGTAGAGGTATGATGGGAAAGCAAGTGTTGTAATGTGACTTTGCAAAAAAATGAGTCAGCTACATTTTGACAATTTGCTCACCATAACTTGTATCACTTTATATAGGATAAGAAATGTAATGAGGAGAATACAAAGAATCAGGTCTTCAATATGTAGTTTATGCCTAATCCCTCTAGTCCTAGCCCACAGCACAAGGACTCATGCCAGTTTTTAAATTAGCTCATGAGAGCTCAGGCCAATTAATTTGTTTAGAAAGACAGTCAAATCTACAAATGTCATTTGAGTTCCCTATTTCCCCAGCTCCTGATTCCAAATTTCAATAAAGCTCTGTAACAGATTTCAGGTATAGAAAGGCTAAGAAAGCAGCTCTCTGAAAGTCAAGGATACTCCACAAATTCCACAGGAGACTTCGTAAGTTGCTCAAGCCCTTTGGTTTCCACAAAGGAAGACATTTCAAAACTTTTGTTGCGTTCTGAAAGTTTAAAAACAGTGACACGTTAGAGCATGAAATCTCATGCGATACATAAGCTGTCATCAACTCGTTTAGTCTCGGTCCCCTTATCCCATGTACAGCTCACCAGCCCTTTTCACTTTGATCTCAAAGAATTTACATACATGACTGTTTGTTGACAGCAGTAATCTCCCTCTGCACATACTCGAGAGCTCCATCTGCACTCACATAAGCACTGCCCAAATTCAGGGCACTGGTACTGCCCGAGATTGCTGCTGTACCAGCTGCAGGCAACAGCCAAGGCACGCACAGAGATCTCTGCTTACAAAATACCATGTTGGTATTTCTGAGGGTGAGCCCAAAGCTCACATCTGTGACACAGAGGTGTTGTAGCAGCTTTTGTGGGGAATACAGAGGGCCCTGCTGGATCTCTGAATTGTTTTTGCAGATAGCTGCAAGGGCTTTGAGCCAATTTGAGGCTATAATAACTAATGTCCGTATCAGATTAAACCGAGCACTGCGCTGGCTGTGCCTACAGCAGTTCTCGTTAGCTTCAGCATGTCAGGGTAAGGTCACATCTGTCAAACAGCCATGGAAACATCACTGTCTAATCAACCCTGAAGGCACACTCCTGTGTCCCAGCAGGTCTTCAGACCTAACTCCCAACTAATATGCAGCTTTTATGACCTCTTGAATTTGGTCAAACTTTCTCATCTGACAGTGGTGAAAAGTTCCTCCTAAACATCTAACTCAGTAGGACTAAACATTAATTTGTGTATCATTTGTTACTCACCTTTGCCTGACGTGGGCACAGCCTTTCAATGTGCCCAAGCATCATGCAGCAGCAGCCAGCCTAAGCCAAGACCCCTCTAGATGCAGTGTTTTTTCCTTTACACTTTTGTGCAAAAGGTAAGGATTCCTGTAAAGTAACAGCTTTCCATTTCATCACAACCAGCTATGTAGGTTGTCCGGAAGGGACCACAGTGCTGGGATGTCTTATCTGTCAGATACCTCACCACTGCTATCTTTCCAAATGAGGGAATCAGTGCCTGTGTTAAAACGAGTTCTCTGGCCTCACCACTTTACTGAAAGCAAACAACAAGGCAGAGAAAAGGCTTGGCCTCATGCAGTTTTAGAAGTAACTGTAATTGTGCTGCAGCTATCCAGGGATGGCCAGGAGGGCAGCCTGGCCAGCTCCCTGAGGGCAAACTGCGAAGCTGCGGGAAAGGAATAAAACTGGAGTACTTGTCTTGCAGAGAGGAGAAGGAGAGAAACAGGTGGGCACTTGCCTTATAGAGAGCCAAAAAGGAAGCAGTGGATCCAAAGAAATTGGATTGTTTGGGCCAATGTGAGAGGAAAATGTGCTGCCAGCCTGTGAACTACAAACCATTCTCAGTGTATGCTGAAGAGAGTCAGAGGATGAACATGGTGTTCCAAAAGTGATTCTCTCCCGCTAGGAGAGCTGGGACTCAGACATTATTGTGGTCCCTATTTCTAATTAGCAACCAGCATGCTACTGCTATTATTCATAACTGTTATCTCCTAATGGTGAAGGATTCCTGCTATTCCCTAGAGGTTGCTCTCTTACCACTCTCTCTTCCTTTCCAACATGCAATATCCTTTCTCCACACGATTCCAGCCAGCTCACCTCCATCTCTGCTGATGGCACTGAGGTGATTCTTATTCCAGCCTTTCCCTTACTGATAGGATAGTGTTAGCAACACACATGTACAGTGGGTTTATTCTATTTAGAATATAGATGCTAGAATTTGTTGTACTAATAAACCGTTATCTCTCAGCCTTCTCATTAATGTAGAGCATCTGTAGGAAACCAGAGCTGGTAGCTCTTAAAGGATTCAGTTACTAACTGTCCAGGGCTTAATCAAACTCCTAGTTAAAATACGCACAATTATTTCCTTGTAATATCTGGAGAGGATTAAGGAACCTGCCCTTTGAAAACGAGACTGTGCAGGAAAGACTTTTCTCTCTCGTGATACATTACACTGTGCTATCTTCTCAGGAGGAAGTTACTACAGAGAGAACAAATAACTCATTGAAAAACTGTCTGGAAAACGTGCAAAAATACAGCTACAGCTACTTGCTGTCAGAGAGAGGGAACATTTCTAGTGAGGGCAATCAGGGGACTGGTACAGCTCCACTGCTGTTCAATATTTCTGTTATCAAGTTGGATGCAAGACTGGAAAATGCACTTTTAAACCATGTGAATGCCAGAAGCAGAGAGGTACTGTTATCACCATGGAGGCCAGGATCACAAATCCAAACAAATTGTGAATTAGAAAATATTAAATTAGAAAAATGCTGTGGCATTGAAACAATGAAATTGTAGAAAGACAAGTATGGATCTTCACACTTAGGGAAGATCCTAAGTCACGTGTACAAAAGTGAAAGTTTTGGGAAACAGCTGGACAGGCAGCAAACTAAAAACCAACCCTCAGCTAATACCTTCTTTATTCAGCTGATCTTCACTGAATTTAATGAAGATTCAGCAGTGAGTGCAGTTCAGGACTAGGACCAGAACCCAAAAGTCATGCTTTAACCAGCCAGAGAAATTTATCATCCATGGCCACTGCTTTAACGAGCTTGGCTTTAATGGCCAAGTTTACCACAGAACGATTTTTTTTCAACACAAGCACCAGAAATTTAATTCCTTAACATTATGACTTCACAGGAACAGTATGATCAATCAAAGCTCACATCAAGACTGAGGATAAAAGTCTGGACAGCAGTAGTTCTTTACAAAAGCAAAACTCAGAAAGGCCCATGCATGTGAACAGAAAATCTACACAAAACAATTTTGTAACAGCTGCATCAACTTGTCCTGCTAGGATTCACACAGCTTCCTTTACACAAGGCATATCTCCTTCCCACTGTGTTCTTGTAACTCTCATTAAAGCTAGAGCAGATTATAAACATCCAAGGGACACTATATAGGGAACAAGAATAGCTCCCTGCATGATTTTGTGACTGCTTATGTATATGTCTGTATAAATATCCACATACAGATGCACAGTTGGTAACTTCTTTCATGTTTATTATTCATCACAAGTAAATGCAAAATCTTGTATACAGACATGGACTTAGGCAACAATTACCTGTCCTCTGCCAAGGCCACCACGAATGCAGAATAAATTAAAATGCTATATGACTCTTTAACTAAAAAGCACCAAAAGCACATTAGAACCTGTCAAAACAAAGTGAAAAAGGCAGGCAAACAGTAGGGGGTTGTGCACCAAGAAAGGAAAAGATGCTGCCGTGTTTACTGAGAAAGCCACTGAGTGCATTTCTAGGCAAGGCATCTTCTGCAAAAGCCAGTGGGGGGTGAAATTACAGCCTGTTCTATACAATACACAGAGGCAGGAAAGAGGGAATTTGCCTATGGGGAAGGGCAGACTGTGTTTGCTCTGAATCTTCTATAAAAGTAGCGGAGGCAAAATACAAGCACTTGCCCAATCTATAGGAATATTTATGCTTACCTTTCTCAAATTGCTTAAGTTACTCTTTAGTCACAGATAACAAAAAGAAAGTGTAAAATTTTCAAATATGTTTTTGAAATGTCAGCATGTTTACTGTCAATAATGTTGGATATTTAGACTAAAATAAGTTTCAAATATGGATTTATTTGGTTGCATCCCAAAATTTCTGTCCATGTACTGTATGTAACAGAGAAAGCCAAGCAGCATTTTTCCAGAACTTTCTGCCACACGCTGCTATTTCCACTATAAGATGTTGCTCATGCTTAGCTTACTTACTTTTTGATACTTCAAATGACTCAAACTTCACAGGCTGAATGTAGTTCACCAGGTTAGACATCTCTTCTGTGGCCATAGCCTCACTTCCAGCAGTACCCTAGAGTAGAGAAGGAAAAATGATGCAGATTTGATCTGTCTAAAGGCTACAAATACCAAAGCCCAGTCTTCTGTCAGTTGTAGCATCTGCCACTGACCCTGGCTTAGTGAAGGAAATGCTCATATGGGGAGTATCACATAGTAAAGAAGAAAATTTGCTATGAAATGCAAAAGTTTACAGTAAACGGCTGCTGTATTAATTCTTTTTACGTGACTCCTAGGGACGGGACTGCCCTACCTTTACACATGCACAGTACGGAGGACACTTAGGGTACTGTTGGATAAATGATAAATACAGCTTTTGATGTCAAGTTTTATTCCCAACAATGCCAAATACACCACAAGCAGCTGTCTAAAACAGATCAGCTGTGGTGCTATTCGTTCTTAATCTACAGGAACTGAAGGCACAAATAAACAAAGCAAGGACGTGCTTCCAAAGCGATTAACCGAGCCGGGAATGTTGGTGCGCTGCACTCCCTCCCTTTCGCCGCTAGATGTCAGCCCCGTCCTGGCGACGCACAGCGACCCCAGGGAGGAAGCGGCACACCGCACAGAACACAGCCCCCCCCTCACCTCATCCATCGACGACTTCTTACAGTCATCATCATAGTCGTCATCGTCATCGCTCTCCATCTCTGCTTCTCCTGGAAAGTTTGAAGCAGAAGATAATTACTGGCTGAAGCAAAAGTTACAATTACCAGTGACAAATCCAAGAAAGATGTGCAAGTAGCACTGCTTGAAGGAGACGACATTGTACATGTGCTTTTTGTCACAGCACAAATCAAATACACTGTCCCGAGGGATTCATCCGTCTTCGGCATTGATTTAAGTTCTTAATGCCCAACAGCGCAGAAACTCTTCCTTTGCAGCTGTTTGATGCTCAGTCTTTGGAAATCAGCACTGAGGAGAGAGTGTAGTGTGCATGGTGTGTGGGTATAATAGCACAGACATGTTTCCGTGCTTGGGGCACAGCCCCATGGTTTGGGAGATGTGAGTCCAAACTCCTGTTGCTGCAGGATCCATGCAGGACCTCCACTGAATGCTCAGCCCCTCTGAGAAGCTCACACCTAACAGAACGCACGGGGTGAAGCAATCGCATGAAAATCCATGAGATTCTCGTGTGCTGTTCAGCAAAACCCATCTGTTCTGAACGCGTCGCAGTCCCTGCACTGAGGCAGCACAGCTGGGAGGGTCTGGCACAGGAGCCAAACTGCAAGAGCTTTACTCCCGTTCCCTTCCCAGACCGCTCTGGGGTGCCCGAGCTCGGGCTCAGCCGCACCGGCTGAGGGCACTGCGAGCCAAATAATGTCAGCAACATGCACACGGCTCATCCTCTCCCTGAGAACGTACTCGGAGTAAATGGGACCGGATAAAACACATTTCTTGCCTTGCTCCCAATTGCAGTGCACTCATCAAATTCCTACAGGCAAGGCATGAGTTCTTTAATGTTAATTAACAAATGCCTCCGCTCGCCTCCAAAATGTGTTGATTTGGTTGTACCAGAAATTTAACCATTAAGAAATATCAAGCTTATCTTTCTCTTTAGAAACTCCTCCTGAGGGCCTGGCTGTTAGAAAGTGCACTTTAAGAAGACTCTGGAAAAGAAGATTTAACTTGTCACCTATCCACACCTCTAAGACTAACTCCCCCTACAGATTTTATTCCACAGACCTAGCTTTCTTCAGCAGTGGCAGCAAACACATCTAACTACTGTGCAGCTATCCCACAAGTTCCAGAGCATGATAATACAATCTCAGCTCCTCCTATCAATTTAGGATCTAACCTGAAGCCCAATAAAGAAACTGCTCTTTGTTCCAGCAGGCCATGGATTATGTCCAGTGGGCCCCACTGAACATGGACAACACATGAGTGTGCCTTTCACAACCAAATGCTGACTATCCAGGCTGCATTTCCTTCCAGATGCAGCTGTTGAAATATCAGGCTTTTATTCATCAACACATTTCTTCCTGAACATCTCATTGAAGAAAATAACACGATTGCTCAACAGGCTCTAGGGATGGCTCAGAGAACCTCAGCACAGTGAGAAGAGCCAGCCAAGCTCTCACAGGATTTGCAGTGACAATCTCTGGATGGGAAGATCTCAATTGATTTAGCCAGAGTGGCAAAGGAACACTTTGCACAGTCTACAAAATGTGGGAAGTGGGCAGATTTCAGTCAACTTGCACTGCTGAGATATGATAGGTACATGATAGCCTGTGTTCCTGCTAGAAGTGTCCAGGGAGGAAAGTACGCAACTCATTATTCATTTATTTAAAAATATTTAAGAGGAATACTCCCAAGGAGATCAGATCTCATTTTCAAGTTCTGCATCAGACAGCAAAACCAGGACAAATAATACACAGGATTGCAAACACAGAATAAAAATGAGTGGTTTAGAAAGTGTGACTACATCTGCATTGCCTTTCACCCAGCAGCAAGG